CAGTCTCTGTCTCTCATGGACCTGTCCTCAGTCTCTGTCCCACATGGACCTGTCCTCAGTCTCTGTCCCACATGGACCTGTCCTCAGTCTCTGTCTCTCATGGACCTGTCCTCAGTCTCTGTCCCACATGGACCTGTCCTCAGTCTCTGTCCCACATGGACCTGTCCTCAGTCTCTGTCCTCTGGGACAGATATTATGTCCTCCAAGCAGCAGGTTAAAACCAGTTCAGTCTCAGGGTCACAGATGATCCAGAACTGGACCAGAACCGGACCAGAACCGGACCTGTGTTCTGACCTGTTTCATCGGGAGGAGGCTCAGAGACCTGCTCGGTGTTCGGATCCGGGTCCTGCTCGGCCCTCTGGTGGTCCTGATGAAGAGGAGGAGGAGGAGGAGGCTGTCAGCATTCCTCAGATCAAACAAAAACAACAAATAAACAAAAATAAAAACAAAATAYACCCTGAAGAAGAAACGAGGAGAGGAAGAGGAGGAGGAGGAAGATCTCACTTTGTGCTCCGACAGAAGACGTCAGGATGCTCCAAATATGGTCAAGACTGYGGAATTAGGCCATGCCGCTTCCGGCCCGGACCTTCAAAATAAGAGAAGAAACCTGAAGCTTTCGCTTCATCTCCCATCAGTTAAACAGCAGGAGCAGGACTCAGCTAATTAATTAACATAAAACATTTAAAACATCAAAAATATTTATAAATAAAGTTTTTTAATTCACTGAAACCCGCCTGAGCAGAAAAATCTCCACATTTAAATATAAATATAAACACTGTTTACTTTTGTAAAATTAATTTAATCATTTGTTTATTCTTGTTATATGCTGTTTCTTTACAAACATAAAAACAGTATTTTTTATAATTTACCAGTTTATTTATTTAACTGTTTATAATCTGTTTCAAACACTTAAGTTGTTCAGATTTTATTTTTTGCAACATTTACTTTATTTTGACACAGCATTCGCTCTGTTTCCGGTCTCACTCAGATGAACTTCACTCACCTGCACGCGCCTGCTGGTAACAGCGTTGATCGTGCGGGTGCACGAGCGAACCTGGATGCGGCGCGGGAACGCGCCCCTCATCACCAAGATGGAGGAAACTTTTTGTTCTTTTTTATATATTTTCAGTTATAATATTTATATTGCAGACACTTAAACAATTACAGAATCTAAATAAAACAAACAAACATTTGAGTTAAAATAAATATATTATATTATTTAATACTGTTATCTTTTTTTCATTATTAGTTTCTGGGTGATTATTTCCCCAAAACAATTGTTTTTGTTATCTGCCAAACTATTTATTTAAATATTTTTTATTA